ATGGCCCCCTTGCACACCAGGGCTCAGGGGCACCACTGGGGTCTGTCAGCCCGGAAAAGGGGGTACAGTCCCTTCTGTCCTCAGATGTCTCTGGACTATTTAGAAAGAGCAGGACATGGGAGCCCTTTCTCAATGAGACATCATTTCTGAGTTCTCTTTGTTTCCCCTCCAAATTGCCTCTTTCCTTGACTTGAGGCAATAATTTAAAGTTTGCCCTTCCCCTCCACGCACACACCCCAATCCCGTCCACCTTGCTCTTACATCATCATGATCTTCTGTACCTTGCGTCCCCTGAGGCTGTTGAACTAAAAATGAAACTGTAATGACATCCTGCTATGGGTTTTTTGTTTTTTTTTTTTTTCTTTTTCTTTTTTTGGCAGCTGGCCGGTACAGGGATCTAAACCCTTGACCTTGCCTACTATGGTTTGAATGTTTGTCCCCTCCAAAACTCATGTTGAAGTTTAGTTGCCATTGTAATGGTATNGCGCCACTTCTGTTGCAGGACTCCTTCGTCGAGGCCATCTCCGTCAGAAACTTGGGCGTTGCCAAGACTGGGCCGGTGGTTGAGGACCGTGGCAGCCTCCTGCTGGAGTACGTGAATGGCTCAGCCTGCACCACCAGCGACGGCAGGCGGACCCGCTACGCCACCAGGATCCACCTCGTCTGCTCCAGGGGCAGCCTGGTGAGCACCGCAGCCTGTGCTGCTCTGGCTTCGTTCAGACTGCGTGCCTCCTGATGGTCTCGGGATGGGAACAGACCCTTCTGGGGTAGGGCGGGGGTGAGGGTGGCCTGTGGAGCACATGGGCTCAGGCAGGGAGCACATCAACATGCTCTGGTGGCTGTGACCTCCAAGTGTAAGCCGTGTCTTTCCCTTCTGAATGTGAGGTGCCACGTGCCTGGGGTTCCACAGGCGTGGATTTGCTGAGCTTTGTGGACTCTGTCTCACCCCTAGTTCTTGTGGTCTGATGATATGAGCTTTGTGGCAGTGGATCGGGTCTCAGAGACGGTTTGGTCCAAATCCCAAAATCTACAGGGGTGAAGTGGAGGCTTGGTGCGGCTCAGGTCCGTGGGTGAACAGTGAGAGACACATGTGCAACACAACACGGGATAAGAACCTCAAGCTGCGAGGAGAGAAGGTGACAGGTTGCTGTTGGCCCTGAGTTCTTACCCAGGGAGGACAGAAAACTCCACATAAAAACACTTTGGGGACGTTATGTGCAGTCCCAATTGCTTTCATTTTTAAATTGCAACAAAGTACATATAAAATGTACCATTTTATGTATATTTGCAGTGTCATGCATTCATCACCGATATCCATTTCCAGAACATTTTTTTATCATCCCAAACCCAATTGCTTTTTTACCTGAAGTTTTAGGTTTATACCAGGGTCATGTGTTTTTGGATAATTACCAAATAGGTAAATCTAGAGTGGAGATATTGGAAGTCATGTTCATTATCAACTAAATTATTACGGTCCACTTGTTAAGGGTTGGTCACAGCTTCCTCTAGCTTCACTGAAATGAACCAGCAAAACGTACTCACAGCTCTGCAGCTATCCAGTGGACACCAAGTCAGTTACACTCCAGGTGACTTGCAGACACCCAACTGCTTTTCGTCATTTAACACACTTTTTTCTAAGGTACTTTCTTTAGGGTTCAAGCACATCTCTCCAATAAGGGAATGAAATGACTGGCTGGCTAAGCACGGCCTGAGCTCTGTGAGGAAGGTGTTCCATCGATGAGACTGTAAACACCACTCCTCTGATTCGCCTGTGCTTGGGTGGCCCATTTTCTTCTCCATCCTGGGAAGAAATATGGATTCTTGGATTCCACAGGTGTACCCCCGATGCCCAGCCAAGCTGGCAATCTCTGTGTCCACTCTTGGAAGTCTCGCCTGTGCATTGCCCCTTCCCTCTCTTGTTTCGTTGCCATTGAGATAGNCCGCTGGATTAGTCTGTTTCTGTTGCTTATAACAAAATACATGGAACTGGGTATTTTATAAAGCAAACCAAGTTTATTGCTTACAGTTTCTGAGGCTGGGAAGTCCAAAGTCCATTGAGTGGTGGGAACAGTGACCCAAGGGGTCTCACGTTGCAAAATGGTGGAAGCAGAGAGAACAGAGAGAGTGAGACAGACTCTCCTCTTCTTTTAAGGCCCTCAGAACCACACCCCTGACCACCATTTTTAATCCATTCACTACAGCATGATTCTACAATCCAATCACTTCTTCAAGGCTCTACCTTTCAATTACCGTATAGCACCCTCTTAACAGTCACAGTGGGGGGCAAGTTTCTAACACCTAAAACTTGGGGGACCCAGTTCAAGCTTCAGGGGGTTTTGGGGGACATAATTCAATCCACTACAACCTGTGACCCTGGGCAGGTGTCTTTCCTTCTCTGTGCCTCAGTCTCCTCATCTCTGGGTTGTGGATACCTAAAGAAGCTAGTTTTGTGGGTCATTGTGTTCTCATAAACTCCTAGTGTAGTGCCTGGTGTGCTACCAACACTTCAGAGTGTGAGCTGCTGTCACCCAGAATGGAGGTGGTGCCCCGACGGAGAAGTAGTGTGGCACTCTGTGGGGAAACTTTCTGTTGAAACAAACACAGTAGAGCCTACAAATTATAAGTTAATAACCTCTGGAGGAGTTTTCACAAATTGAACACACCTGTATAACCAGAAGCCACATCAACAAACAGAACATTAGCACCACTTAGAAGCCTTCCTGTGGCCCCTTCCTGTCACTACTAAACCCCTCCTCTGACCTCTGACACCATAGATGAGTTTTGCCTAATTCTGAGCTTAGGTCAGTGAAATCATACATACTCTAGTGTTTTGTGTCTGGTTTTTTACATTCAGCTTTTGGTGTAGAGCGTTTTTCAAAAGCATGGACTTGAACTCAACCTAGGTTTGGATCCCAATTCTACCATTTACTCCTGGCATGATTTCTAAATATCTTAATATCCAAGCATAAGAGATAATATCTCCTTCATAGGAATGATGAGAGCATTAAATTGTAATTAGATAATACACATTAAGTACCTAGCTTATCAACTGACACATAATAAACATTCACTAGATTTTAGCTATTTTTAAGTATAAGTCTGGTATTCCTGCGATTAGATCAATGTCTATGTCATTGTATTGACTCTTACCCTGGATTTGACCTTTCAGAACACCCATCCCATCTTTTCTCTCAACTGGGAGTGTGTGGTCACTTTCCTGTGGAATACAGAGGCTGCCTGTCCCATCCAGACCATGACTGACACAGACCAGGTATGTGTGTTGTCACCTGGTTATCTCTCTGAGTTGTCTGACGGACATCTCCACCCGGGTGTCCCAGCTCTGAACTGACCCCCGCCCCGCTTTCTGAATCAGTCACTGCATCACCATCCTCTCCGTGTTGACAGTAGGCATCTGAAGCCATCCTGCATTCCTTCCCCCACCCCCAACTCCCAGGTCTCGGTAAATGCCAGGACCCTCAGTTTTATTCCCTGCACACCTTACTTCTCCATTCCACTGTCCCTTCCATGTGGCAGTGGCATCCTGGTAGGCTCTGGGCATTCTCCAGTCACTGGCAGAGGTATGACAGGTTAATAGATCACGTCACACTAAAACTTTTCATTGCCTCTTGCCTAGATGGTAAAGCCCGTATGTTTAGGTGTGATCCTATCTTTAGAGTAAAGCCCGCGTGTTTAATGTCTGCCTGAGGCTCCGAGTGCCGATTCCAGCCGCGTTTCCTTGAGGCTCCCCTGTGTCGGCCGTGTGTCTGCAGCAGCTCCCGGGCTTGTCCCACTGTTTTGGCCTCTGTCCACGCTCTCCCCCGTTGAACGCCCTCCTGCAGAGTGTAGCAATAAGCTGCTCTGTGATGTTCCTCTGAGCTCCCCAGGGTAGTGACCTGTTTTCACAGTACTGTGTGTATTTTTTTAATGGAGGGACGTGTTTCCCTTCCTCCTCCTTTTAAACTCTCTGCTAGACTGCAGACTCTTCGGCAGCAGAGACAGACCATGGCTTTTCCAAAAGAGTGGCCCCAGCGCAGGGTCCCAGCTTCGTGGGTCCTCAGTGAGGGTGGGAATGGCAGGCACCCTGTCCAAGGCCAATGTTTCCAGGGGCTGTGACCACTGCCCCATTCCCTGCATTTGGTGGACATGGGGAAGCCCAGGGCAATGCTCATTAACCTGGAAGAGGAGAGGAGATCGTTTGAGAGTTACCTGATCATAATTCCTGCCACCACCTTTAAGTGAATAATTGAAGCAGAAACAGAACGTAAGAACGTTCCTTAAGATTTTTTTTAAAAAAATTAGTTATGGATCTACGGTTCTCACTTAACTTTCCCGGTAGGGATTAGCACTAGGCAGTCATCCTACTCAGGTAAATACAATAGCCTTAATAGCTTCCAGATAAATTTAGTGTCTGAGTCTGTCATCACACTTGGCACACTTAAGGTGCTGTGTTTGAAGGGCCTGCTCAGTGCACAGGGCTACATTTTGATAGGGATTTTTAAAGTGAAAGGAGAAATACCTAGTTCTGTAAAGTGCATACGTGCAAATTTCTGAAGGTGTTTTTTCTATATCTGGTGTTTCTGTGCAATTGGTTTGAATGTGTCCCTTTCCCCCCTTTTTGTTTCCTGTAGGCTTGCTCTATAAGAGATCCCAACAGTGGATTTGTATTTAATCTCAACCCACTAAACAGTTCTCAAGGATACGTGGTCTCGGGCATTGGGAAGACTTTCGTGGTAAGAGCAATATGCATCTCCAGTTTGCTTTGAATCAAAGAGAGAGTGTGTTGAAGTCGCCTCCAGTTGGTGATTCCAGGAGGCAGGTGTCCTAATAACCCTGGGCGCTGTGTGATGGCAGCTGTTACCTGGGAGGAGATGAGAAATACAGATTTGAGGGGAAAATAAGTAAAACCATCCCACCGTCCTGGCAGACGTGAGGACTGTTATTTCTGATCCCTTGCTGTGTGTTGAGTTGCTGTCTCCAGGGCATCACCTGGGCATCACCTGGGAACTGTTAGAAATACAGATTCTCAGGCCCACCCTGGACCTCGCGAATCAGAAACTCGCAGGTGGAGTGGGGGTAGTAGTCTGATTTAACAAAGCTTCCAGGTGATGCCCAGTGAAGTTTGAGAACCACTAGTTATGAGGAAATTGTAATTGTATTACTCTGTAAAAGGGAAATGACCTGAATAGCTGTGTTCTAGAATCTTCTGACAGCACTTCCTTCATAGACAGCGTGATGGTATGTCTGGAGCCATAAGGTGGAAAATCTGTAAGTTAATGCCGTTCATTTATAAACTAAGCACTGCTAGAAAGGGAGAAAGCTTTTTAAAAATCTTGGTTTTGATTAAGCTTGCAAACAGGAAATTGGGATGAGAATGTTTTGTAAAAATTTGATGCAGAGAAGAACTTTGTAGGTAAAATGCCACATACAGAAGAGCATACAGGTTGACCCACAGCCCAGGAAAACACCTGAACGGGGTTTGTCCCTTCGCAGCACTTTGTGTCCTCCTATCCCCCAGTCCTCCAGCATTTTTAAAAAAGGGATTTTCTCCATTTCATAATGTGTTTGATAATGGCCTCCGTATTAAAAATTAGTTCTAGTACTGTTGGTCATACTCGTTAGTGTATAATAGGTAAGCGTGTACTTAGTTGCCTGTACTTTGTGAGAGGCAGGCGAGAACTTCATTGAACCTCATAAAGAACCCTAGAGACAGGCTGGAGAGGCTCTGCCTTGTGCACCAGCAGGGGCGTTAGCAGGTGGCATCTGCATATCATGGCTCTCGGTTGCAGACAACAGAGACTGACTCTGGGTCAAAAAGCAGAAATGGATTTGATTGGAAAGGCTTCCAGGCTGCTCCTGGGATTCGGGCCCAGCCAATGTGCTGCCAGGAGAGCTTGGGACACCACTGCCCATGAGCCGACCACTTGGCATCACAGGCAGAGCCACCTGGGTTTCCGCCACCCTATCCCGCTGGGCTCAGCTGCCACAGCTAATCCTCCCCACGCTGGTGGGACCTGAGCACCACCGAATGCAGGGCATGCAGATGCGGGGCTGTGGGATGTGGAGCAGGGCCCAGGCTTCTCTCAGCTCTGTCATTAATGTACAGGCAGGACTTTGGAGGAAGGAAGGGGAACCTGCCTCTGATTTCTGTGATCACCCTGCACGCAGCTCATGTGACTGCAAGAGCACTTGAGAGGAGTCTAGTTTTATTGGCCATTGCTTAAGGAGGAAATTTTGGTCTTTAAGAAAAACACTAATAATATGTAGTCCTGAGTGCTGTTTTCATTGTCTGTTAACACTGAACAGACATAGGAAAGTCTTTCTTGGGCCGAGCCACTGGCGCACTCGGGAGAGTGCGGCACTGGGAGCGCAGTGGCGCTCCCGCCATGGGTTCGGATCCTATATAGGGATGACCGGTGCGCTCACTGGCTGAGCGTGGTGCGGCTGGTCTCAAAAAGGACAAAAAAAATAATAAAAAGAAAAGTCTTTATCTTCGTACCAAAGACCATATTCTACTTCATTTCCACAACTACTGTAAACTTAACTTATTTTTAATGGAATGATAATTTTATTAGTCCACTTTTGTTGCTTGTAACAAAATACCTGCAACTAGGTGATTTATACAGAAAACAAAATTTATTGCTTATAGTTTTCTCAGACTGGGAAGTCCAAAGTCCATCTGGTGGTGGCAACAGTGACCCAGGGGTCTCACATTGCAAGATGGTGGAAGCAGAGAGAGAGAGAGAGACAGACTCTCCTCTTAAAGCCCTCAGAACCGCACCCTGACCACCATTTTTAATCCATTCACTACTGCACGGTCCTACAATCCAATCACCTCTTTAAGGCTCTTTCAGTTACCATAATAGGATTTCCCATCCTCTTAACAGTCACAGTGGGGGCTAAGTTTCTAATACGTAATACTTGGGGGACATAATTCAAGCTTCAGTGAGTTTTGGGGTGATATAATTCAATCCACTACAGTAATCAACATCTTTAACAAATACAGGACATCACTTTATATTTACTTATAACTAATGACTTCAATTATGTATACTTTCTCTAAAATAGCTAAAAATATCATAGAATTATTGCTTATATATATATTCCCTGTATTATATATGGACATTTTTACATGCAGCAGTGTATCTGATGCATTTATAGCTACATGGCTGTGTAAATAAAACCACACGTACTGAATATTTGAGGCAATTTATGGGTGTTGCTGTTTCAACTTTGATTTTTGCCTTACGTTCTAACTTTAGGACTTAACTGCCCATATGTGGAAAGCTGGTAAATAATAGATGTTTAACCTGGGGGATTTTGTGTTGCTGGGGATCTTATCTGTGGTGAGTGACATGGCCTCAGTACCTCTGTATGGTTCTTCCCGTCCGGCCTACAGTTTAATATCTGTGGCACGATGCCGGTCTGTGGGACCGTCGATGGAAAGCCGGCTTCTGGCTGTGAGGCAGAAACCCAGATAGAAGACCTAAAGAATCTGAAGCCGGAAAGACCAGTTGGATTCGAGAAAAGCCTCCAGCTGTCCACAGAGGGCTTTATAACTCTGACCTACAAAGGGCCTCTTTCCACTGCCACAGGTGAGCTTAGCGCTGAGGTGTTTTTGCAGCTGAGAAGGGGCCAGTGGTTGTATGTCTGACAACTGTGCGCCTTTCTGAGCCTGTAGTGTGAGCACCTCTCTCGTGTTCTCATCGTATTCCCAGCCCTCCCGCCCCGGGCACACGTGCACACACACTCACGTGCCCTCCTGCTGTGTGGGCTTTGGCCAGGCCCTTTCAGTGTCACTCCGCAGCTCCAGAGGGCTCGCGCTAGCTGTCCTGTCCCCGTGAGCTCTCCTGCCTCCCCGCCCTGAGCCTCCGCTTGTCCGGCACCTCCAGTTGTTCTCTGATGTGGAGCACGTCCACCTTTTCTTTTTACTTGTTTCTATTAGGTACTGAGGAGGTGATAGGGGATGATAATAAAAGTTATTTAATTTTTTCCTAAATTTTCTCCTTTCCTGCTATTCTTCCTCTCAATCCTTATGGTATCTTTATGTAATCAGTACAAGTTTGCTGTGTTAGATTTGTTAACACCTCTACTCTATTATGTAGCTGTGCGTATGGCAGAAACTCAGTTGCCATTTCTTGTGTGATAAAGTGCAGGGTCTGGTCCAGGCCCTTATGATGGTGGTGGTGGTGGCAGCCACAGCTTCTGTGTCTTAAACACTTTCTGTGTGCCAGTCCTACACTAAAATGCTGTTGTGTACATTTTCTGATTAATTCTTACACCAGCCTTCTGAGTCTTATCTCTCTTTTGTGCCCCAGCCCTTCTGTTCAGCCACTGCCTTGTACCGAAGGTAGGAGAGGTCACATGCCTGGGACAAAGCTAGTGGCTCGTTGGTGGTCGGACTTAGGACCCAGGTCTCCTGGATTCTGATCCTGGCTTTGCCAACTACTGCGTTTCTGTGATACAGATGAGGAAATGGAGGCCCACAGAAGTGCAGCCCAGGGCCACACAGCTGGTTAGAAGGGCTGAGATTGGAATCCACGTCTGGCTTCTGGACCCATGCTCTTTCCGTCACGCCAGGGTCAACTTGGGAGGGTCAGTGTGTCGAGTCTGGAGGGGGGTGGGTGGCTCCACTCTCCTGGATTTGCTACACCCCAGTCCGCAGCCATCTGTTGCTTTTGCACGTCACACCTAAAGCTAGCAAATAGTGAAGATTGTCACGACCCAGGAGGGGAACTGCAGGGCTGAAGAAAAGCTTCCATGGGTTCTGGAAAGGGCAGTTCAAAAGTTGGGAACATGAGCCCAGGTGCCATCAGATCTCTGAAGGGTAGTCCTTTTGAAAAGAAGTTAGGTTTCTTCTGTATAATTTGTAGGGGAGGATTTGGACCCAAGATCAAAGTTACAGCAAGATTATTTTAGTTGATTTAAAGGAGAACTTTTTAGTAGAGCTGGACAAAGTGGGTGGATGTGTTGGTTGCCTCGGGAGGAAAGAGCCACCTCCAGGTGACCAGCACATGTGGAGTGTCCACCTCAAGGGCGCAGCGTAGAGTGTATCGCTCTTGTTTCTGTTCATCCCATGTGGTTCTAGCCACGTTCATTTCCTCTTGAAGAACTTCATAGACATGTGATTTTCTCGTGAGTGCTGCGGCAGAGTGCCTAACCTCACTGAGCTCTGACACAGTCCTTTCTAAAGATAGTAATGGAAACTGATGCCGAAGCCCAGGGACGGAGGTATTCTGGAAGGGAAAGCTGCCGCTGGAATCCTCCTGATGGAGTTGGCGAGCTCAGGGTAGTGATGGGGTGGTGGTAATCCTTTGCTTTATGGATGAAGGTTCTTAAACTCTTGCTCATAAAGCCGGCCACTATTTGACCAAAAAGCAACATGCTTCTTTCTTTTCATAATTCTTTTGCTCTCCAGTTTGACAGTACTGTTTTAAAATGAAATAGGTCAGTCATGTGTATAGGATTTCCTTTTTGAAAATCATTGTGTATATTTCAGGGTGACCAGCATGGTCATGTGGTTGACACGGTCACCACATGTGGGCTGCTGGATTTGCATCCAGCCCGAGCCCTCTGGGCTGCAGCAGCAGCACTTAGAGCTGTGTCACCTCAGGATTGCTGCTTTGCCTCCCTTCGCTTCAGTCCCTCGTGTGGGATGGGGACTCCGTGCTCCCCGGCCCCTCGCAGGTCATCATGGGAGTTAAACAACTAGGAGAGGCTTGCTCATTACAGCTGCAGCCCCCTGCTCCACTGCAGCCTGTGCTGTCCACCTGGCTGCAGGAGCCACCTCAACGGTCTTCCTGCTTTTGCCCTCGCGGGATAGTCTGTCTTCCACACAGCAGTCAGAGTGATGTCTGTTGGATGTTGGATCATGTCACTCCCAGCTCAGAGCCCTCTGGTGGCTCCGCGTTGCACCTCCAGTGGAAGCCAGCGCTCACAGAGGCTGTAGCACGCCCATCGGGGCTCTCTGATTTATCACCTCTGCCCTTCCCCTCACTCCCGCTGGCCCCTGCATCTGAAACGAGAGGGCCTTGTGCAGCCTTTGTTCCTGGACAGCTAGCACATGTGAGGGCAGGCATGTCCTCCGCTTCTCTCTCTCCTGTATGGCGCAGGCGTTGAGTCTTTGTTGAATAAGTCAAGAGATGACAGTTACATTGTTTTCTGATCTTCGGATTGATAACCTGATGCGGGGAATTGAGTACTTTCTGAGAGAATAAGAATGCCAGGATGTTAGCTCATGGTTGAAACCCATCATAACGCAAGTCACTGTTGCAATCAGTGTGAGGCCCCTCTGTGCTCAGGTCAAGTCCGCTGACATAGTGCCCTGGCGGGATTGCTTTGGAGGGCAGCTGTGAGGCTCGCTGTGGTGGTGGCGTTGTCCTGCTGTGTTTATGGGCTGTGTCGTGCATACTGTTCTGGTTTCTTAAAATGGGGCCTTCTTGTTTCCCCAGGCACTGCTGATGCTTTCATCATCCGCTTTGTTTGCAATGATGATGTTTACCCAGGAACCTCAAAATTCCTGCATCAGTACATCAGCTCTGGGCAGGGCATCCGCAACACTTTCTTTGAGTTTGAAACTGCGTTAGCCTGTGTCCCTTCTCCAGTGGATTGCCAAGTGACCGGTAAGGCTGTAAAGTCTGAGAATTAATAGGCTGGTCGGGAGTGTGTGTGTATGAGAGCGTATATGGGTGTGAGTGTCTGTGTACGTATGTCTGTGTGTGGATATTCGTGTTTGTGTATGGTGTGTGTGTTTTGTTTTACAGGCAGCATGACGTGTGTTACATATTTCCTTTGAGTGATACTTAGAGTTGTAATGTTTCTCTTGAAGAGAATTCGGACACATAATTAGTTGTTTCAAGCTATGTTTTGGGATCAGATGCTGCTTAAGAACACAGAAAAAAACTCAGAGGAAAAAAAAAAACAAATGCACACTGCCAAAGCCTCTTATTAGAGGCAGAAAAAGACGTTAAAACGCCATCCCCTGGACCCTGCAGCTGAGGTTGGCCCGCAGCCTCCAGGGCGACGGTGCCTCCTGCTGGAGGGACGTTTTGAGAGACACGGCGGGTGTGTGTTTCTGTAGGCAGAGTCTCTCAACCTCCTGTGGACTTGTCTCTCACAGTCAGAAATGTCAAGTTTGCGCCTCAGCAGTCTGTCCTCGGGGTGAGAGGTTTCTCCAGGGCTAACAAGAAGGCAGAGTTTTGCAGCATGTGCTCGGTGTGTTTCAGACCCAGCTGGAAACGAGTATGATCTCAGCGGCTTAAGCACAGTCAGGAAGCCTTGGACTGCTGTTGACACCTCAGATGATGGAAAAAAGAGGACTTTTTACCTGAGCGTCTGCAATCCTCTGCCTTACATTCCCGGCTGTGGTGGTGAGCTCCGGCTAGTCTTCTTATTTAATCTGTTCGTGTCATTACGACATTTGACTCAGGGCCAACCTCCCTGCCCTCCTATTTCTCACCCTAAAACCTACTCTACTGATCTTTCAGGCAGTGCAGTGGGGTCCTGCTTGGTATCAGAAGACAACAGCTGGAACCTGGGGGTGGTACAGATCAGTCCACAAGCCGCGGCCAATGGGTCCCTGAGTATCGTGTATGTCAATGGAGACAAGTGTGGGAACCAGCGTTACTCCACCAGGATAACGTTCGAGTGTTCTCAGATAGCGGTGCGTGTTGTCTGTGGCTACTTCCGTTTCCCATGGCCCTTCCACCTCTGAATCTAATGTCTTTTCCAAAACTTGCCTGTCTTTTCACGGATATTTGGTCATTGGTAGGGTTTAACTAGAATGTGTTATTTTCTCCCAGGTCTTAGATGTTTAATAGATACTATATATTTTGCTCCTGGAGGTTAAAGATTGGTTAAATTGTGGCTATCATTTGATTTTTTTTTTTTAATAAATGGAAAAACAAGTAAACTGTTTTATATTATAGGGATCACCAACGTTTCAGCTCCTGGATGACTGTGAGTACGTGTTTGTCTGGAGAACGGTGGAAGCCTGTCCTGTTGTCAGAGTGGAAGGTGAGAGCCGGGCCTGTCCTTTACAAGCCGTCATACGTGTTTAAAGTAGCAGATGTTCTAAACAGTAACGTAGACATGAAACCCTGTAATGGTCGCATGTGGGATCGTGAAATGCATATAAGTGGACAGATACTTTCTTATCTCTGAGCTTTTTACTCTAATACATTGCTAATTTTACCAGTGACATTTACCTTACATTCCTGGGTTGATGGGTTTTTGTCTTCTCACACTTGAAAACACTAATGTGGGGTTTTGTTTTGTTGTGTTTTGTTTGATGAAGAAGGCCTAAGTTTTTCTAGAAAGCTGTTCGTCAGGCAGTTTGTGTTGTATATAAACAAAGTAATGTGGAAATGGCTTTTAATGCCCGTTTTAAGATGGTGCTAACCTGATTAAAATTTCTGAAGCCTTCTGCTAGAAGGTGAATGCACGTGCACTTACAGTACCCTTGGCTTTTTATGTTTTCTCAAAGGAGACAATTGCGAGGTTAAAGACCCACGGCACGGCAATGTGTATGACCTGAAGCCTCTGGCCCTCAATGACACCGTCGTGCTTGCCGGCGAGTACACCTACTACTTCCGGGTCTGTGCGAAGCTCTCCCCAGGCATCTGCCCCACCAGTGACAGGTCCAAGGAGGTGTCATCCTGTCAGGAAAAGCGGGGACCGCAGGGATTTCAGAGAGTGGCAGGTACATCATCTTTTCCTCTGCTTTTGCTGCGGAAGAGTAGAATTAAATTTTAAGATTTGCCGAAGATGGCATTTCTCTTGACGAGGAGGAGGAATGACTGTTACGTTCTGGTGAAACCACATGTTACTGTTTCTGGTGTCACTTGGTTTTCTTACCCAGAATACACATGAGGAGTGTTGTTAGCATATGTTCATTTTATTCTTGTTCAGCCGTATAACTCACTGGCTGTAAGATCATATTTCTTTATCACAACATTGGGACACACCGAGCTAGCCAGTAACGGGTGTTCTGAGGTGTAGTACTTTCTAGAATTGAGTCAAAGAGGATGCATTTAGTATGGGGTTTATAAAACTTTCAGGGCAGACTGTTGGTCATTTATGCTCTCTCAGCGGTCAGGCAAGATTTAAATAAGTTTAAGAACTCTTAAAAGTAAAGCTGAGATAGCTAACAAGGTGAGTTTGTGGCAGCCCTTACGTGCGTAGAAGAGTTGACGTTCTCTTACCTGATTAGGATGTCATTGTGCCATGATTTGTCTATCATGTTGCAACCTTGGGCAAGAAAAGGGCTTGGTTTTATTCCTCCTCCCGTGTGATGTGACAAGGAGCCTGTGGTGCAAGGCCAGTAGGTCAAGGAGGCTTCATCTTCTAACTCTCTGAATGCGTGACGTGACGTGACTTCTGGTAATATAAGCACGGCAACCTGCGGACTTCTTGAACCAGACCTTGTTTGATGTGCTTCTTCCTGGACAGGTCTCCTTACTCAGAAACTGACTTATGAAAATGGGTTGTTAAAAATGAACTACACTGGGGGGGACACTTGCCATAAGGTGTACCAGCGCTCTACAACCATCTATTTCTACTGCGACCGCAGCACCCAGAAGGTGAGCGTGGCATCTTCCCAGGGGCATCTTCCACCCTGTTGTCTTTATAAGATGAATCTGCTTGCAGATCTCATGAAATCTGGTTAACTTAGAGTACATTATTTACAGAAAGTATGTTGAAACCTCCATCAGTTTGTAAAGATTTTAATGAGTATAGCCATCCCTTACGATTTTCATCCTTCGAAATTCAAAGTATAAACTAAACTAGAGTTTTGCATTCCCATTTTTTATATATGTTCATCTTAACTTTTTCAGCCAGTATTTCTAAAGGAGACCTCAGATTGTTCCTACTTGTTTGAATGGCGAACACAGTATGCCTGCCCACCTTTCCAAGTGACCGAATGTTCATTCAAGTAAGTTGATATATTGTTGACTCTTTTGGACAGTTAGACTAATTTGATATGATTTTGCTTTAGTAATTAATGATCTCGGTGAGGGATAGATTAGCCAGTTAGTTAATTTCTCTAGGCCTCAGTTCCCTAATTTTGGGGGGCTGGGGGACGCAACTGGCTGGTATAGGGATCCAAACCCTTAGATCTCATGTTACAGCACCATGCTCTAACCAGTTGAGCTAACCAGCCAGGTCTCAGTTCCCTAATATTAAAGTGAGGAGTCGGGTTAGGTTGACTCTCAGATCCTTCACAGCCATGAGATTCTGTGATCATTTTGTGTTCAGATGCATGTGGGGAAGTGGTTGGAGCTGCAAGTTCACGGGTCTGTGTGGAGTGGAGAAGAGGCCAGGAGGTCCCCTGCCCTCTGCTGCTTCCTCAGACACTGCCTGTGTCTGGGGACGCAACAGCAGAGACTGCACGGTCCCCTTTTTCCAAGTCCTCACAGTGTGGAGCGGTGATGGAGGGCCACGCAGATGGGTGGTGGTGTTGGAGAGCGCGTGACAGGGATGACACCAGCCTGCAGGCTTTTCTGCGGCCAGTACGGGTCCTTTTGGTCTCTTTGTTGCCCATGACTCAAATGCACCCCTGCGATTGGGTGATGTGGTGGCTCCGGCGACGAGGCAGAGGTCTCCATTGTGTGTGAATTGCCACAGAATTGCTCTTGGAATGTTCCCAAATAGACACCTACGTCCCATCCCTGGAGACGCCGGTTTTGTAAGGCTTCAGTTCTGTATTTTGTAGGGACATGCTGACAGTTCTGGTGTGTGCTGAAGCCACCCCGTAAATAACCGCTTAGTCACGGTACTTTCTTGGGAAAATACAGCTGTTTCTGTTTCCTTCCACCCTCTGTCCAGTTGGGTCATCTGTTTTTTTCTATAGGTGAAATCGTAATTTAAGTCTTAGTCACATATATAAATATATACATTTAGTAATTTACATTTAGTAGCTTTAAGACATAATTTTAGTAATGTTACTTTTCCATTCAATGTTTCATAATATTTTTACGTCAATCAAGTTCATTTCTCATTTCTGACGGATGTGAACTATTTTTCCAAGCAGGTGTCTCTGATTTACTTAGCCATCCTCTACTGTCTTGAGGGCTGTCTTCAGTTTTCTGATATTTATGTATAAGGAGTAAATTTTTGTTTCCCTTGTACATAAAGCTTTTCTCCTAAAAATATTTTTAGGCTGAGTTTTTAAAAGTAGAATCCAGTAAGTCAAAGGATAATTTTATAACTGATAAAATTCGATACATGTATTTTGTAATACATTCAAGGAGTTTTAAAACATATGAGATGACATGTCTGCCCCTCCCCCATCCTCTCAGCTCAACCTCACTCCACTTTTTACCATATCTTCTTGTAGTTCATTTCGGACCCTTCCATAAGTCTAAATAAAACATACATACATCCCTGTTTAAAAATGCAGTTCACCAGGGCTGGTCTCGTCTCTTCTCTCCCTACCCCACTTTGGTTAGTTTTGATTGATTTCTTCGAGGACTGCTGGTAGCACCTTGGGTCATGCCCGTGTGCTCTGTGTCTCGTGCCATCACCGGTAGCCATCCCTGGCTCCCTGCTGTCCCTGGTTCAGGCTCCTTTCTCGCCCCTGCACTGCCAGGGTAGCTCTTGGTCTCTCGGCCTCCCTGCCTCCGCCCTTGCCACACATTTGACTAGTCCAGTGCAGTAGTCGAGATGACCCTGTGATGATACGTCAGGCTGCGTATGTTGCTGAAACCCTTCAGTGCACTGTCTGCCCCTCTCCTCTGGAGCCACAAGCTGCAGTCCTTCCTGTGACTCACAGACCCTGCGTGGGACGGCCCGGGGTCAGGTCTCGGCTCGTCTGTCTCCTGCTCACTCCTGCACACGGCTCCACTCCAGCCACACCCGGCTTCTCGCTCTTCTTCCAGCGTGCCAGGCTCGCCTGCCTCAGGCCCTCTGCCTGCGATGCTTGTTGCCGGGCCAGCTGTTCCATTGCTCTCAGAGTTTACTCAGGTGTCAGTAAGGCCTTTCCTGGCTGCTCTGTCTAAAATTTCACCAACTCCTCCCACCCCCAAACTTTATGCCCCCCTTCCCTGCCATTTCTTTTCTTCAGCTCTTATTGCCATCTGGTACACTATATGTTTTTAAAGCTTGTCTAGTTTGTGGTCTTTTTCTTCCTCTAATAACTTTGGTAAACTTCGTAAGGTTGGCAACTTTATCTGTCCTGCTCACTGCGATGCGGCTAGTTCAGCTTGTAATTTTTGGATGAAACAGCAATTTTCACTCTCCTAGCATAGAAATGGTGTCTGTAATTGTTCTGCATGCTGGGCCTGGTGCTTCCTGGTGGCAACAGAGTATTTGTCTTGCTCACCATTAGTATTGTATCTGCTGCATGGTCGGCTCTCAATAACTGTCCATTTATGGGATTTGTGTAGTAAGTGACCTTTAGCCTGAGCAGAAAGGTCAACACAGCCCATTTTTATTTTGGTGACCATTGGTGGCCTCAGGTATAGATGATAGGTGGCCTGCCTTGGCTGCTCCTGTGAGCGTCTGAGCTGTCAGCTCTAGCCAGCAAGCTCCCCTGCCCGCTGGCCAAAGCATGGACAGAGCTGGCTTGTCAGACTTGTTTTGTTGTTGTTGTTAATGCTTAATTTTGTTAAAGCAAGTGTTGGAGTTTCCTGAAGTCAGAGTTGTGTTGTTGCTGGTGATTGGATGTGAGAGAGTTCATTTCCAGCCTAACATTCTGTCCCTGGGTGAGATTTGATTTACAGGGTGTTGGAGATAGACTGTGCCTGAAATACTCAAGCCTTTCCAGAAAGGGTGCTAAGTTTTTAGCAACAACTGACCCTAACCACAGCATGCTCTTCCCTTCAGAGACACAGCGGGAAATCCCTTCGACCTCTCATCCCTGTCAAGGTACAGTGACAACTGGGAAGCCATCACCAGGACAGGGGCCACCGAGCACTACCTCATCAACGTTTGCAAGTCTCTGTCTCCACAGGGTGGCACTGGTGAGAGGGACTCTTCATGGGTGATGCTTATAGTCAACATCAACAGGGAAGAGGGGGTAGGAGTAGGATTCTTTGAAGGTGCTTTACTCTCTGCAGCATGTGAGTGGTTTGGCCAAGAAGCAGCAGCAGGAGGAGTCGTGTAAGGGTCTAATTAGGCTGATCCTCATGTGGCCCAGGACAAACCAGTGCCGAGGGCACTGCTGGGAGCCTTATGACCTTTTCTGAACGTGAGGAGATAGAGGCAGATGGAAGTAAGGATGGCAGAGAGTGAGCTCCTCCTAGCAGGGGTGGCAGGAGGATGGAGCGGGGATCGGCTGTGCAGCTGTGCGTGTACTGAGTGTGGGGGTGGTCCTCCCGTGACGCAGGGCCAGCTCACCCAGGCCCTTAGTGCTGGGACGAGATTAGAAATCAGTTACACACGTGGGCCCAACAGCTTTCCCCAGTGATCTTGGTGCCACCCACGGCCTCTTGGAGTCTTGAAGATGAAACTCGTCCTGTTTTCTTAGAGTTTAGTACAGCCCCACCCACGTCTTCCATGGCCCAACTCCAAGCGGGTACTGGCTTTTTAACTACAGAAAGTGGTTTTCATCCTCTGTGGTTTGAGGCTGGGGGCCCACTTCTTGCCTCACTGTGCTCTAGACCCACTGGTGTGGGATTAGTTCACCCAGGGCACTTGGCACAGACATTTCGGGAACTGAGAAACCAGCAGAGCCCTTGTAACTTCTTGAATAGAGTGCATGAGTGTAGGCCATTTAAAATGTTCCACTGGCTTAATGTAGGAATTTTAGTCCTGTCATATCTGGGGTTCAGAAATAATTCGGACCATTGCATCTTGAATATCCCTCCATATCCCATGCCTGCCCCTAGTCCATCTGTAGTGAAACAGCCTTTACATGAGTGAGGACTGATGGGTGTCATTGTCGTCTGACCTGTGTGAAAGAAAGAGCAGGTGATAAGGAGTGTGAAGTTCTGTGGCAGTCTAACATTCCTTGCCAGAAAAAGTTGTGCTCTGGATTGGAGAGTCACTGAAGGTAACTCTTGACTGTGGCTTCCCCTGTTGCAGAGCCCTGCCCTCCTGAGGCGGCGGTGTGTCTGCTGAATGGCTCCAAGCCCTTGAACCTGGGCCAGGTGAGGGATGGGCCGCAGTGGAGAGATGGCATAACCATCCTGAAGTACGTTGACGGCGACTCGTGTCCAGACCAGATTCGGAAAAGGTCGACCACCATCCGATTCACCTGCAGCGAGACCCAAACGGTAGGTGGAAGCTTCTTAGCCTCCGCTGCTGCTTTGGGGAGCTGTGCCCCCTTGAGGGTCAATGGCACCCACGTCCTTATTTCCCTGGAGACACAGAGTGAAGAGCTCAGGGTGACACAGCTTAGTGGAGGGCCAAGGCCAGCAATCGGGGAAATGGACTTCCTCCCTGGCTCCTGAGATGCTTAACCTGCAATTCTATTTCTGAATGAGTTGCTTCTCTTTGGAGGTTGGCAGATCCCCTGAAGGTGGTAGAGAAAAAGTGATATCTGATGACAGGCCCTTTGTATCCATGGAGGCAGCTTGGGAAGAGCGAGAAGGCTGGACAGGACTGGGTCAGAGGGGCTCTTTCCGCCTTGCTTGGCTAATTACCTACCTCTGTAAACTGCTTCCCTGTTAATCGCACAGGCATGCCTGTCTGGCCAGTTGCTGTGAGGCTTAGAGAGCAGCGGTAGGGAGTGCCGAGTGTCCCTTTTGGCACACAGTAGGTGAGCATTTGGTGGGGCAAGTCTCAGCTCTGGGACCGAGTCCTTCCCTGATTGGTTGGGGTGGCAGCTAAGCAGGTGTCACCTGCGTCAATGGTTTCTCTCTGAGGGTGTGGTGAAGCCCCGTGGGCTGTTGTGTGCTTAGGGCTGTCGCTGTGTTTGGGGATGAGGTCCTCTGGGCAGCCTGCTCAGCATTCAGATGGGCCACCCAGCACCCTGCAGCTGTGCAGTGCTGGAGGAGCCTGGGATGGGGGAGTTGCAGGTACTGGACATGCCCCTTGACCGGAGGGGCAGGTGAGGCTTCCTCTTGGGCAGAAAGTGCAGAGGCTTGGCCTAGAGCCGGGAGCCAAGGGGCCCTGGAAGCCTGGCCCTTGGGGCTTTCTCATCTGTGCCTGAGCAGGGAGGCCCCAGGCTCCACGTGGGAAGGAGAGGTGAGGTGGTGTGTGGGGCTCTGCATCCCTTGCCCAGGAGGCTGGACCCCAGTGTGGGCTTGTCAGGTTAGACCACCAAGGTGTTGTGGGTTTTATCTGGGGAGGAGGCTCTGCTGAATGGATCTCACCCTGCTCTGTGGTGGACGTGAGCATTTTGAGATGCCCAGAGCAAGCAGCAACCAGGGTCAGTGGAAGGATTAGGAGAAATGACAGTTCTTTTGGTGGGTCTTTTCATTTTGACCATAATAACAGATTTTAGTTCGTTTTTTAGGATTGTATCAATTATTTCCTCATTTGTGTCTCCCAGTAGCCATTGGCACATCCTTTGCCCACCTGTCCCTAACCCCTGCCTTGTGCCTCTGCCTCCGCCTTAGGAGACCTTCCTGGCCCTAGAGTGGGTTTTCTGGCTCTGGGGAGTTTTACCTGCCTGTGTGTGCATATTAAGCCCGCAGTGCCCCCTTTGGAACACACAGTGACCCTTCGCTTTTCCGATCTGCACCCCATCCCATACAGACATTGAGACACAAATTCCCTGTGCTTCTGGTGTTCTGCAAAGGAGCTTCCCCATGTTATAAGTTGAAATGTGCTATACATCAAACTTGTGCGATGACTTTGGAAACTGCCTGTCCTGTGTTGTAGAACTCCAGGCCCATGTTCATCAGTGCCGTGGAGGATTGTGAGTACACCTTCTCCTGGCCCACGGCCGCTGCTTGTCCTGTGAAGAGCAACGTGCATGACGACTGCCAGGTCACCAACCCTAGCACAGGTGAGAGATGGTGCCGGCCACCAGTCCCAGCACAGTGGGGAGACAGTGCCGGCCACCAGTCCCAGCACAGTGGGGAGACAGACAGTGCCGGCCACCAGCCCCGGATCAGGGGATAGACAGTGCCAGTCACCAGCCCCGGATCAGGGGATAGACAGTGCCGGCCACCAGCCCCGGATCAGGGGATAGACAGTGCCAGTCACCAGCCCCGGCACAGTGGGGAAACCCAAGGAGCAGCTGTGGGGAGGAAGGCTCCTTGGGCAGAAGTTTTCTGTGGTGTGTGGGGGTGTGTTTGGCCACCTGTGTGAGCTCCCTGGGGTCACTGTGTCCCCTCCTCTTCTGCTTTCCAGGACACCTGTTCGATCTGACTTCCTTAAGTGGCAGAACTGGGTTCACGGCTGCGTACAGCGAGAAGGGGCTCGTCTTCATGAGCATCTGCGAGGAGAATGAGAACTGCTCTCCCGGAGTGGGTAAGGGCGCTGCTGCTCTCGCGTCCTCTGACTCTCCCGTCCACAGGCTGTCCCCGGCCTGACCGCATGCCCATGGCACAGGAGATGAGGGGAGCCAGCAGGTCAAACGCCTTTATATCTTGCAGCAGTCAGCTGACGGGGGCACGGGGATGTGTGGCCATGTGATGAAACGTTACGTGTAATGTCTTACCTATGATTTTGTAGTGTGGGCTTGCAGACTTCTTATCGGAAAACTGGCCACTGAATCTGCGACTGTGTGTTTTTTCTTCTGCCCTTCTCATGTGGCGCAGGGGCCTGCTTCGGACAGACCCGGATCAGTGTGGGCAAGGCCAACAAGAGGCTGACCTACGTGGATCAGGTCTTGCAGCTGGTCTATGAGGACGGCTCCCCTTGTCCCTCCAAATCGGGCCTGAGCTACAAGAGTGTCATCAGCTTTGTGTGCAGGCCCGAGGCCAGGCCGACCAACAGGCCCATGCTCATCTCACTCGACAAGCAGACCTGCACTCTCTTCTTCTCGTGGCACACACCTCTGGCCTGCGAACAAGTGGTGAGATGGCGTGGCAGCATCTGTCAGTACTGTGGGTCGCCCCCTACCCCCCGCCCACAGAGACCCCACCAACCTCAGCCACTCCTGATTGTCCCACTACTGAAGTGGAGTGAAAGTGCCAGCTGCTGTGTAACAAAGCGTTTGGAGATGTTTATCCAGTCTTTGGGCTTTTTGTTGTTGTTTTAGTGTTTACTTTTTGTGGATGACTTAATGGTGATTAGGAAAATGTTTTTGTAGACTTAAGTGCAGTCTTTCCTGTTTAACAGACGGAATGTTCTGTGAGGAATGGAAGCTCTATTATTGACTTGTCCCCTCTCATCCACCACACCGGTGGTTATGAAGCATACGACGAAAGTGAGGACGATGACTCCGACACCGACCCTGACTTCTACATCAACATTTGCCAGCCGCTTAACCCTATGCATGGGGTGGCTTGTCCTGCTGGTTCTGCTGTGTGCAAGGTTCCCGTTGATGGTTCCCCAATAGTAAGTGTGGGATATCCAAGGGTGGAGATCACTTTTAGCAATAACTTTTATGTTGTGTTTCTTGCTTTCAATGGAGAGTCATTCAAGCAGAGAGTGCAGAAGTTAGCTGGGACTATGTGTGTTCTGGGTTTGCTAAGAGAAGATTATTGTGAGGGTTTGTACATGGAACTATCAGTTGATAATGGTAGCCAGAAAGTCTTTCAGCTGTGTAAGAAAATCTGAACACATAGGTATAGATAGACTTTTTTGTATCATGTTAGGAACCTCAGAGTTGATCAAGAGAAGTTTTTAGGTAAAGTGGCAGGAAAGAACATTGGCATAGTTTGGTTTCTTTCTTTGAAATGCTTGTCTGGTGTAATTAAAACACTTGTGAAATACAAGCACTTTCTTTGATAACAAGCTCGTTAAGGGCAACATCAAGTTTGCTAATAGCTAAATGTTCTGCCTTGAAGTTTTGGTTTTACATTAGCATTTTTTAATATAGATTTGGATCTTTACAAATTGTCTCCATGAGTTACGTTTATATTTTGTCAAACCCTTGGTGTGTCTTAGTACTTGAAATGTATCTCAAAAGTTGCCTATTTCTATATTAGTTTCTATATTATTTACATGCTTTAAAAGTTGAGTCTTCTTGTGAGATATCCAGATGTCCTTTTAAAAGATGGATATTATATGGCACTGGTGTGGAGAAACGCTGGGGGTGGGTGGGGAAATCGGCCACTATATGAATTAACAGAGCTTCAACTGTGTAAGAACTGGAGGGCCTGAATAAACTGAATCTTGAGGAAGCACTTGGGTAACATCCTTTCTCACAGTGCAGGTTGGGGGTCCTCAGTCGTAATCATTTTTTGAGACGTCCGATCTGCTGTATTTTCCTGCTTGGCCACCTGTTGTCAGATTTTTAAAACAGTAGTAAGTTCTGTAATTGGAGAGGGTGTTGTGTCATGTGATCCAAACATGCCCCATGGTGATGAATGAAGAGCATTGCCACTGAGAACAAAACACACACACACACATACTACATACTATATACACATGCACACACGCACGCACACACGTTACTACATACGCACGCACACATATACACACTACACACACAAACATACTATATACACATGCACACACATACACACATGTACACACTATACACCCACATACTATATACACATGCACACACATACACGCATGCTGTATACATACAACACACACAACCACGTACTATATACACATGCACACACATACTGTATACATACAACACATACAACCACATACTATAT